AAAATAAATAAACATTAAAAAAAAAAAAAGAAATCATGTCTGTCTCTGTAATCTGAGCATGTAATATTCTCCACAGAAAGAGCCTCTTTTAATCCCAGCCTCTATGTTACAGTTACAGTGGTCAATTACACTATAATCATCTTCTGGGGACACTGGGCCCACAGACCACACATAGATATGAATGAATTAACTGAAATGTATCAAGTTAAGCTGTAATTCTTTGAACGAACATATAACATTTTATACGGGTCCTTTTAAATGAAATGCCTGACTATTCCAAGAGGACATTTTTGTCTATAAAGAAAAGCAAAGTGAATATAGCAAGTCTGAGAGATGCCTTTTTCAGTTATAAACTTATGTTGAACTACTGTGGACATTGCTACATTTGTGCCACAGAGTTTTTGACATTTTCCAATTAAAAGGATATTCCTAAAGCATCCAAGAAAAAGTGACCCACTTAAGTTGCTCTCTGTGACTGTGTCTACCCAGGCAAAATGAAACGAATAGTGGAGCAATTATTTGTGAGTGGAATTGATTTGGACAGTCAACCTGAATAAGTCAGAACCAAAGCACCCTTCTTTCCTTTCTCCATAGCAGTATTCCACCCACCCTCCCCCATGGTCTGCATGCGTCTCTAATTTGTGTTTTGGCTACATAGACAGAATCTTTATACCGGAAAAAACATACATTTTTTTGCATTTTGGAAATGTTCAGACAACTCCCCTCCTCCTTAGTTTTTATTAGCTGTGTTTTTAATTATGCAAAGAATCTTGAGAATCCCTTTACCTGGGATTTTCCTAGCAGAACATGTATGGAGAGCATGATTCTTTTGATTGCCATAGTTTTGTATTTGAGTGTAACTCAAAGCTCTTTTCCCAAGGGAGGAGGTAATGACTCTTCGGGTGGCAGAAGGATGTCAGAATTTAATGAGCATCCTTTAGTTGACCCCGGTGTGACACAGCACACTGCTGAGAATTTGCTTCATTTTGTGTTGTTGCCCCATGTCACTTCTGTGACCCACCCCCATATCCTTTTTTCTTTACCTGCTTGCTTACTTTTCAATCTTCACCAGAAACATTCCTTGGAATTCCCAAACATAGGTATAATTCCCTAAATTTGCTTTCAGAATGTAGAAGTAAATTAATATTGGGGGAAACAGAAAGTGACAGAAATGTACTTTGGAGTTATCTCCTACAGGTTGGGAAATTGCAGAATTATTCTTGTGAAAGGTTAACTTATAAAGCCAATGAGTCAGGCAAGCTCATCTAGAAGTAAAAATGACTATTGTCTTCAAATATTCATTTATGGAAAGAAGGCAGAAATTCACCTAGTCTAAAAGCTCATCAAACTTTCCTGATCAGTTATAAGAGGAGTGGTCCAGACCTTGTAAAATTATCACGAAATAAAGGTCTGTATTTGAAAAAAAAGATTCTGAGTCATGTATATAATGGCTTGTATTCAGTTAAACAGTATTCAGTTAAACACAATCTTGCTATAACAATAGAATTTAACTCCCAGGGTTCATTTAAAAAGGATATTTAGTGGGGCGCCTGGGTGGCGCAGTCGGTTAAGCGTCCGACTTCAGCCAGGTCACGATCTCACGGTCCATGAGTTCGAGCCCCGCGTCGGGCTCTGGGCTGATGGCTCAGAGCCTGGAGCCTGCTTCCGATTCTGTGACTCCCTCTCTCTCTGCCCCTCCCCCCTTCATGCTCTGTCTCTCTCTGTCCCAAAAATAAATAAATGTTGAAAAAAAAAATTTAAAATAAAAAAAAAAAGAATATTTAGTGTTCTATGCTTATTTCTAAGCCTGAATTAAAACACAAGCGATAGTGTTTGTAAAATTACAGTATATTTGCCTTCTTTTGGCAACTCTCCTGGAATATAAAACTGAGGCTCACGTCACTTATCCTACGTGTTATTTGAGACATCTAAAAATAAACGAGGAGATAAAAAACAGAGGTGATCTCATTTCCTCTTTTAGCTTTTTCGTGGACCAAAAGGAGCCAAGAGTCTAGGTGTCTGAGTGGGGGTAAAGTGGGGTCAGACTGTACTAAATGCAGCATTTCTTAGTGTCTTGTCAGATAATTGAACTTTAAGGCTACTTTCAGTGGTCTGGCAGCCCTGTAAATGCTCCCTGTTGGCTCATTGTTAGAGAAAATTTCCCGGAGTTATTTTCTGGAGGTAATTGAATAATAGAACAAAAGGTCTGTATTCTCCGTGTCTTGGGGGAGGAAGGGGGCAGGGGTGAGCATTGGCAGCAGGAAGACAGACCATCCTCAGGGGCAGGTGAACCTGAGATTGCTGTGTTCCGAGTGGTTCAACACAGAGACTCTCATCTTAGAACTGAATCTTGAAATGCAGGTCTATAGCTCATGATTTATTCAATGCAGTTTGTTTGACATGTTCCTTGATATTCAATATCTAGATGTTCTTAACTGGTGAAACCTAGAAGAAAATCCCACAGGGCAAATCCAAGTCTGCCCTTTTCTCTCACTGCCTCTCTAGTCTAAACCACCTGAGTGATTTAGAGAAGAGTTTCCGCGGAGGAACACTACAAAGAGAAAGATCTGCCCTGCTTCACCATCCTGAGCCTCTACAAGCCATGTCCGCAGTTAACGGCTTAGATTTCTTCCTTGTATCAGAAAACGTTGAGCTTGTAATTGTTTTCTCGGTCTTTCTTTTGCCTCCTGTGTGAAGGATTTAAACATAGTATTTATTGATGATAAACTGCTTTGTTTTGTTTATGGGCTGTAGTAAGTTTTACAGAAGTGTTTATACTTCTGCAGATATCCAAAACACATCTGCTTCAAAAACAAAACAAAACAAAACAAAACAAAACAAAAAAAACAAAAAACACCATGACACAACCCCAAAGTATGAGAAATTCTGGCCAGCACAGTGCACAGTGTGGATTTAGAGGGGGGTTGGGAGATGGTAATAGTGATGACGGAGGTAAGAGAGATGAGCGTGTTTGGCAACAGGTTTGGACAAAAATTACTTTTGTATTGCCTGCATAATAAAAGCCACATAGTATAATTATATTTTTAATGCACCTCTATGTTTTGTTTGAAGTCCATATTGCTATAATGTTGTATTGTTCCACACAGCCAGACTATCAGTGGTATGCTCCCGACCAGTTTCCGCCAGATGTGCAGCACAAGGCAAATGGTAAGACCACAGCTGTATTGAGCATTCTTTCATGTTTACATTTTAATGGGGTCTTTTCGGGATGTTTACTCAACATACATTCATTCGTACTCAGGGAGGGCCTTCTCTAAAGTTGTGTTGCATACACAACTCTAATTTGATGCACCTGGGGTTAAATTGAACTCCTTCAGAAAAAGAAAATGTTCAAATGCAGAAATGCATGAATCTCAGTCCTGGCTTCTGTTCCCATTCCAGTCTCAGAGTCAGTATCCCATCTGGGGTTAGAAATGAAAACTTCAAGTAGAGCTATACTGTAACAACAACAACAAAGCTCTGTGATTCCACTACAAAGGGCAGATGCACATCCACTCTTCCAGGTTGAGTTCGCTAGACAGATGTTTTAAATGTCACTGGCAGACAGACAGAGGAAACAAAGACTCAGAACTGTGTTCCCTAGTGACTAAATGTCAGACTCCAAGTTTAGGCCAAGGTGGCCCACAACACCCACCTCTAAGTACACTGGAAAAAACCTAAAAAGGCACCTAGAAAGTACTCACAACTAACTACTCTTTTATCTTACTTTTCTTTGGTTTACCATTCTCCTCTTCTTTCCAGAATCTGCCATACTTTCTACTACTTATTTCTATGGTCTCAGGAGGCCATCTAGGAATGGGCTGTATAAACTGTGCTATAACCATAATCTTACCTCTGTTTTCATCACGTATCGTCAAAAGTCATCCATGCCTGCTACATGCTTAAAAATCTCCTGTGACACACACTTGTGACTCTATGTTGTTAATTTCCAGAGATTTTAATCTATCCACAAAAGCTGAAGATGAGCCATATTCCAATTTCAGGTCATACTTGAAACTTGATCTCATTTAGTTCAGATCTGAGATCATAGAATTCTGGTTTTTAGTATAAGGAGCCCATTATGGAGTGGAAATAGAAAGCTAGGGATAACATGTAGTCTTCCAGGTTTTATACTTCACAGTCCAAAGAGTTCTTCATAGTAGTCTATGCAAATGTAGCCCCCTACAACAAAGAGTTGTGCTTTATACAACCTGGACATCTGTACCCAGCAGCACTAGGAATGGCAAATGCCATAGCTTACAGAAGGCTTATAGAAAAAAAAAAAAAAAG